TTAAACTCTCCGGGTTGTCAATTTTATTTAAAATTGACTCAACACGTTGCCTTAGTAGAAGTTTGTCAGTACTAGTCTCACTCTTGTGGGCAGAACAGTTTTAGTTGAGACTTCTGCCAATATTGATTTTCTTTCTTCCAAACTTTTGACTTGATCTTGGTTAAGGGCTTCTTGATTAAAGGCTTCACCTTGATCTTCCGACATCAATTTCCGACATAGTAGGTGCACATGTTTACACATGTTAGATTTAATGCATGCATCAATGCATGTGCATGTGAACTTGTGTATGCATGCTGTACACTGCTTGCAAATAATGCTACATGGACATTCTTCTTTTATCTGACAAATCGTGTACATTTCTGCAGAATTTGATGACGCCACGTTCCACGAATTTTCTAAAGTTTCAGACTTAACAATTAAGTCTTGGTTCATGGACAAAGAACTTTTTTTTGAAGTTAGTTTTCCCTTTTCAATTATTAGTAATCTGTCAAAGAGTTTCTGCCTAATGAGTTGCATGATTGCACTTATCGCTTTATCAAGTCGATTGACAGTTTTTCCTTATTCCAATATAAAATGCTTTATTGTTTTATGCATACTTTCCAGATGCATGTTAGTGTTAATTCCTACATTTACTCGAAAACAGTATGCCCATGAATGGTAGTTTGACCCGTAATGTTCCTTGAAGTAATCACCATATTCTTCGGTGGCTTGGTCGCTGCGAAGTTCGTCAATAACTGGTCCCAGCATTGCCAAGAATGCATTCGGATCTGTTTCTTCCAGCAGAACTCTTAACTTCTTGTATACTGCTTGTCTTTTATCACAATCTTTTATCTTTGACAGATTCTTTTGCCATGCACGGTCGACATGCCATGTACAATAAAGTCTGTTATCAACTGGGCCCATTACTTCTTTCCACGCGTTATAAAATGATTCAGCCATGTCTGACATGAACGCATTAGGATTTATCATTCCAACTTTCTCTCGGATTGCTGAAAGAAATTCACTCACAGCAGATTTATCTGTTCTGTTTGTGATAAAAAATGCACACGGAAATCCTTGTCTCATATTGTCAATTACCATAACGGTTACCACTTCAAAATCATAAGCGCCCAAACCGTGAGTACTGTCTATACAAATACAGTCTGAACCAAACTTTTTCAAAAGTTCTCCTTGTGCCTCAGTCATTATTGCAAGAGCGAAATCATTCTTGGCGAATGTGGCAGTTTCATCAACCCCTTGTGGTTTATATAACAAAACACAGTCATTTTCACCCTTTTGGCCTTGTACCCATGCTTCGACACTAATGGCATCGTTCGAATGACGCATAGTCTCATTAAGACCGAATTCTTTTTCAATATTATACAGATCTTGTTTCGTCAGTAAATGTATTCTTTTTAGCGAGTTTGGTTGCAAAGTTGACCGAACTTCTTCAAGTATTGTGCCAAAAGGAATTTTATTTGATATTTTTCCGGCGATATCTTGACGTTCATCAAAGGTCAAAGGTTTGTGAGCTAGGTCAAAAGTGTGGCCTACATGAGTCTCACAGTACTCTACTTCGACATTTCCATTTTCAAAAAACGTTGCCTTTATTGAGAAAGGACAGAAACCATTTATTTTGCAGGAACCCTGTATCTTTGTTTCCCTTTTTCTTTTGCCGGATATAGGCTTAGGTTCAAAGTTTCCCGATCTATTGCACTTAAAATAAATTCTCTTCTTACCAGATAGAATCCTCTGTCCTGTTTGTTTTGTGAACAACACATTTTCCTTTTCCTCCGTCTTGCTTTTCCAAGTGTAGAAATCTGACGCACTAGAAAAACTAAGAACTGACTTGACAAAAGTCTTATCGCAAAACTGGCACACATTCATTGTTGACAGTTGACACCACGCGACCACGCGACCGGACAGACAGCATCGAATTTGACGTTTAAGTTCGGCACTGCTCGGTAAGATTCGGAAGCGTTCGGCACAGCGCAGTAGTGGGGGAAGCGTCGTTCCGATTTCAAATTCCGCTGTCCCGTTTCTAGACAGACGAAAAAAGAGCGGTGACGGTCTGACGGCAAGGCCTCCTCGGTCGACGAGCCCCAAAACAATAGGATGACGTTGCGTCATAAAGATTGGTTCATAAATTATTACAGTATCATTAAATAGTCCAGGAGCTGAGGGGGTTTGAGCATGCATGAAAGTAGTACGCAATGTTATTGCTGATTATTGTAATACGGACTGTGACTGTGGTGATCAAAATTACGTATGTCGCCTATTTCAGAAGTGGTCGGTAAGGTGGGGGGGAGGGGGCAAACATGGCGGTTTGCGCTATGCGTTAAAACGCTGATAGTTCGAAAACGATAAAAGATAGAACATCGGTTAAAACGTCGTTGGAATTCTAAAAATGTGGACAACAATAATGGTTATTGGGTCCGAGGTCGTATCTCTATAAATAAACAAGTTATTGTATAAAATAAGTAAAAATGGACTTTTCGTGTAGTTTTTTTTACCGAAAGTAGAATTAATTTGTGAGTGTCGCAAAGAAGTAATACCAAATATCTTTGCTGATAGTTGTAATATGGACTGTGGTGATAAAATATACGCATGTCGCCTACTTTTCAGGTGGTCGAGAACTTGGGGGGAGGGGGGCAAAAATGGCGGAACGCGCTATGCATCGAAACGACTGTAGCTCGAGAACGGTACGAGATAGGACATCGGTTAAAACGTAGTTTTAATTCAAAAAATATTACCAATAGAAAAGGTCATTGGGTAAAAAGTTGTATCTTAACTAATAAAACAGTTAATAATTTTAACAAAATCTACATCGTACAGCTATTTTTTTCGAAAATCGTATGGATTGTTGATAAATAATAGTGCAATTACTTAATTACTCGGCTAAATATTAACTAGATACATTTTCTTATAAGAAAAAAATATATTATTACGAATACATTTGGTTTAAAATGAAAAACACGTACCAAACGCCTTGGGGTTCGTCCGATAGGTTGCGTTATAATTGCTGCGCAGTGCTGCTGATATCGGCACAACTGTTAATAAGAACTGAATAACTGGCATAACTGAATAAGAATCTGTTACATAATCATATTGAAATAACCTACAACTTTATAATAATTAAAATTAGATTTGTAGTGGTAGTCTGTATTATGCATTTACAGGCGTTTGACAAGGTGTGGCATGTCGGACTTCTGTTTAAACTCAAAACCTCTCTTCCTCACTCTTTGTATAACCTTCTGAAATCATATCTGACCAACCGATATTTTCAAATAAAATTTGATAATTCGTTATCTGATCTGAAGCCGATACAGTCTGGAGTACCTCAGGGGAGTGTTCTTGGTCCCTTGCTATATTTGATATACAGCAGACATCCCTATATGGTCCCCAACGTCACAGTTGCTACGTTTGCTGATGACACCGCACTGTTGTCGAGTCATGTGGACCCTCAAGTCGCTTACATAAATCTACAAGCTGCCTTGACTGAGCTCCAATATTGGCTTAAAAAGTGGAGGATAAAAGTCAACGAAAACAAGTCCAAACATATTGTTTTTACTCTGAGAACAGGGTACCCTCCAGTAACCATTAATAATGTAGCCTTAACGGAGGCAGACAGTGTAAAATATTTTTCCTACATTTACCTAACAATGTATATGTTCTCTCACTTATTTGAGAAAGCAAAGTGGCCAATTCGCTCATCAGTGAGACAATGTTAACATTGTCTCACTCTAATTACTTTGTCTCACTCCAGATTTGCAACGTGAAGGCACGAAATAGTGAGCGCGTAACATGCAGGCAACGTCGTATGCGCGCGAAATACGTTGGCAGCACTGGCTGTAAATCAGCTGGTCAGCTGTTGTACTGTTGTATTTGTCACGTCACATTAAATATTATATTAAAAGTTCACTTCTATGTAAAAATAGGTTATCTTTCTTCACAAATTTATTTGTTTTATGGTAACTATAGGAAAAGTATAATGTGCAACTCGAGTTCAAAGTACAATTGCCTCACTCGAGAAACCATTCCTCACTCGCCTACGGCTCGTGAGTAAGGATTTCTCTCGAGTGAGTCAATTGCTCACTTTTCTCACTAGTTGCACAAATAACTATAGGTCTATCTTGACAAAAAATTAAATTGGAAATCTCATATCTGGTGCTAGAGACAGCAAATGGAATTAAAACTTCGTAAACACAATTGGCTACTATAGGTACGAATTCAAAATTATCATTGGCTAACAAAATTTTACTGTATAAAGTTATGATAAAACCAATTTGGACATACGGAATTCAACTTTGGGGGACCTCGAGCAAATCCAACATCGAAATTCTTGAACGATTTCAGGCTAAGGCACTGAGAAGAATTATTGGCGCACCCTGGTTCGTATCCAACACTACAATTAGGAATGACTTCAAAATTAAATCAGTGAAAGAAGAAATTGCAGACCTTAGCAAAAATTATCAAGAAAAATTAGAATATCATCCGAACAGTCTTGCTGTTAATCTGCTGGACAATAGTCAGTGCATTACCAGGTTAAAAAGTGTTGTGCATGTGCTGGACCTAAGCTACAGATTTCTGTAAATATTTAAATGACTGATCTAATTTTTGGCAAGACTTGTTGATGAACAGGTGCTTGCTTCCTGACATTGTTTTGATTTATGTTTTACTTATTGTTCTCATATTTGAACAGATTGTAAAATAAATTCTGATAAAAAAACGAATATTTGTTGTCAAATGCAACTGAAGGCAAGTGAGCGCAGCGAACGAGCTCCAACCTAAAGGCGAGTGAGCGTAGCAAACGAACTTAAACCAGGACGTGATTGAGCCATGCGAACGAGCTCATCTTGAAAATGAATGAGCAACGAGCATTTGACATAAAACCACATTAGGACAGGACGACGTCTGTCGGGCCAGCTAGTTGATTGTATGTTATAATAAAAAAATCAATCATTCCATAGACATATGATAGTTAGCTGCTCTACAGAGGCGTGACGTCACACTAGCTTAGTTGGTTTTCTTTTCTTGTTAGTTCAGTTGGGTTTACTTTTACATAGCTGATTGTGTTATCCATCGTAGAAATTTGAGAAAATGGGATTTATGTAAACGTTCATTACATTTTTCAGTTCTTAACGATCTAGTATAATTCCATGGTCATATATTTACCATTTAGAATCAATTACTTACGCCATCTAAACCTTGTAGCTAGTGTTGAAAATTCCATTTTAGGGCTGTTCACTACCTGAGTGAAATGTCTCGACATGAAGGTACGAATTATGTAGTACTAAGGCTATACAGATCTAATACGAAATAACGCATAATAATAGTGATCTAGATATTTTTACCCCTTTTATTGCCTCATAATGACTAATCTTACAATTTTCGACTAGGAAATAATGATCAAGTAGGTCTAAGTTATTTATTGTTCTAAGTTAGCCTACTTAGTGAATCATAATTTTGTAGATTATCTTTAAGTTATTTAGAGAAAGTCATAAAAAAATTAGATAACTTAGGCCTAGCTGAAAATGATTTTACTCTTGAACGATGTCTTAATACTTATCACAAACAACATCTAAAATAGGTAGGCTAGTAATATTTTATTCAGTAGGCCTACCCTATTTATTTAGTATAGTTAGGCCTAAGTTACCTATGTGCCTCCAAACGAATTTTTAATTTTGATATCTTACTTTATAGTTTTTTATTTCCTAAATCCAAGCCTATGTTATTTTTTTCACCGCTGATGAATGTTTTCTCAAGATACTCCATAAAAATATACAACATTAGGCCTATAATACACAAGGTAGGATGGATGACATTTTCAAGTGGAATTAACTGTGGGTTAACTAAGCCTACAGCTGACTCTTTTCAAACACACGACAAGCAATGGGAAGTAACAACATTTGAACTTTATTAACTCACTCTGATTCTGTCGTTGGCAATAGGCTAGGCCTAGTGACGTCATTAACTTACGTCACTACAACTACTTACTTACTTGAATCCACATCCTACACTCATCTCCATTCATACTTGGCTTAAAATACCTACATAGTATGGTCGCCATTTCATAAGAAAGTATAAAGTATAAAGAATTCTTGAATACTTGTATTCTTGATCCTTGACTGGCAATTTCAGATAGATCGCGTCATGTCTTTAAAAATGTAAAGACTTGATTTATTACTAGAAGGAACACAAAACAAAAATACTCATTGTCATATTGTGCTAGGCCTACTTAGTCTGTTACGCCTGTCACAAGTTCAGGTTAAGTGAAGAGAGTAACATGGTTGATGAGAAGAATAACATAGTTGATTAAACATAATATAACATCATTGACTACAAACATTTCAAGAGATTCTTTACTGTAGTCAATAATGTTTTCTATGAAAGTAATTTCGTCACATTATAATGGAGAAACTTAGATGGACTGGTGGACTAATTAAGTTACATTTAGTTCTTAAGTTACATTTAGTTCTTAAGTTATTTAGGCATGTCAGGGTGGTAGGTATTGCTTTAGGTCCATGTGAATTCGTGACTGTAAGTTAAGTCCTTTGAAGGTAGGTTGGATTAGGTAAGTTAAAGTTTAGGTTATAATGCATCGAGTTGTTAGTTTATGTCACCTGCAAACTGTTTTTGTAAAATTAAAATTTTTACAAAAACAGGATTTTAATTTTACCAAATACAGTCTGACATAAACTTAACCTAAACTTTAACTTCGGCTACCTAATCTAACCTACCTTCAAAAGACTTAATGCAGTCACGAATCCGCATAAAGCATGGCCAACCACCTTGACATTCGTTTGCTAACGTTCTAGAGGGTTGGTTTGGTTAGGTTATGTTAGAATAGCACTTAATTTTAGTAGGTAGGTACCTATGTAATTTCTAAATGGGGAAATATAAATTATTAATTTAAAAAAATAGGCTGCTGGTAACAATAATAAATAACATTAAATGTGTTAACTTATTAGTCTTAGAAAGTGAAAAAGTGTATAACATAATCAGGTGATTTTCAAATTTCAGAATCAGAGTTTGCTAATTAAGTTGTCACTTCCATTTGCTTGACTATGATTGAAAACAATCAGCTGTTGGCTTACTGGCTTACTTCACCGTTCATCCACAGTTCTTTGTTCATTCCACTTGTAAATGTCATCTGTCCTACCTTTTAGCGAATTTCCCTAGGGAAGCAGCTAATTACCGTAGGTGGCATGATAAGACCTTGGCCCGGGACCGATTTAGGTACTTTTTCATTTTGATGTCCCCACTGGCCAAAATCACCATTCGTTCAAATTTGTATAGGCCTATATATTTATATATATATATATATATATATATAGATATATGTAGTGAGACCGGGGACACTTGATACAGTTTTTTAACTTTTATTTTTAGATTTGTTATTATTTCTCTTTTAAATACTTCCAACCAAGCTTGAATTAACACTTCCTTTATCACTTAAAATTTATTTAAACATATAAAAGTAACATTTTATTAAAAAAAATACAATTTTAATGGCAGTTTGTATCAAGTCTCCCCAGCCAGAGTTGGGAGACTTGATACGGCATACATAACAAAACCTAAGTGGGTTACTACTGACAAAGTCCTTCAAACTTGTCTTAAAAATATAATACCCCCGCCGCAGCAAACCTGCAGACTAAGGGAATTTCCATTTGACTGATTGGATTTACACTGAAATGTCTACTTAAAAATATAACATTTATTCCCGATTTAAATAGAAGTACCTGGGGACCGAGCTTTGCTCGGGGAATTAAATAGAATTAGTTTAACCCTTCAACTGGCACAGCGACTATAATAGTCGCGGTAGTCAGTGTCTGTAGTGGCAGCGACTATAATAGTTGCATTTTGCAAGGTTATTTTAAATTGCATATAAACAGTTAAAAACGATCGCTAACTTACATAAATTGTATACCAATCGAAAGATGAGGTTCTAAACTTTCATTTTATTACATAAATAACCTTTATAACACTGATGGATCAATATAACTTAGTGATAAAGTGGAAGACAATTTCGCGCGAAGTCAGTTTCTCTATATAAGCATCACAAAACTACCGAAAATGGATATTTTCAACAAATAATAGCAAGGGGTATTTTTAGTCTACGGAACAGCGGGTGGTACCACTGCATCCGGCAGTTCATTTTCTATATCCAGATATATAAATTATATCGATATCTTTATAAATAACTCATATAGAAAAATAATACCTCAGCCACCTTTTTACGTGTATTTGAACTGGCAGCGCGACTATTATAGTCGCGGTAGTAATTCACATATGTTTCAACGAAATTTATAACTTTTGTTATAATGACATATACCATCTGATAGCCCATGAAATTCTGTGCATAGTGGACTTTTGTTGCCGTATGTTGCACAACCTGTACCAACGTCATCACTTGTTGTTTACGTGCAATTTATCTTCTTCACCTGTTCACAAGGTTATGGGAATTTCACCGTTTTTTAGTTTTTAGCGAATTTCCCATATAGGGAATAAGCTATTACCGTAGGTCTCATGGTAAGACCTAGACCCGGGACCGATTTACTTTTTCGTTTTGAGGTCCCCAGAGGCCAAAAACACCATCCGTTCAAATTCATATATATATATATATATATATTTATATATATATATATACCTATATATTTATATATGTGTCCGTTAGCGCGATAACTCGAGCAAAATTGATCCGATTTTGATGAAATTTGGTACAAACGTGTAAACCTACATTAATTCGAACGAGTTCGCGAACCAGCATAATCGGACCATGGGATCAGGGGTTTATGGGGGGTTTTATGGGGTAAAAATGGGTTTTTCTCGTTTTTGACCCTAAAAACTTTAAATTTCTAAATTTCTCTCTAGACCATTTTGAAGAGCTTAAAAAAACAAATAATTTAGTATATTGAAGTGTTTTTGAATGTTCATTGACTACGGAGAAAATTAAAAAAATTGTAAATTTAAAATTCCCATGTTATTCTTATGGAGAATAAATAAACTGTTCTAGTTTGCTTGTTTATGGATATATTTTAATCAAATTTGGCAATTTGGTTTATTTCATACTAAGCTATCAATATTTCAATTGAAAAAACACACCTCAACATCTTCCCCGTAGCAGCAAACCTAACTACTCACTAAAATAATGTTATTTAAATAGGAAATAAATCTGAAAATTTATAGGGAATATTTTAGTAGAAATCAAGCCGGGTAAATGGAAATTCGCTTAGTATGCAGGTTTGCTGCGACGGGGGTATTTTGGCCATAACTCAGCCAAAAAAAGTTATAAATTGAATGTTTTTACTTTTTTATGAACAGAAATAAATTGCTAACATTTTGTATATCTTGGATTTCATATAACAAATTTTCTGCATTTGCAGCACAGTTTTGCTTTCAAATTTTCAAATTTGAAAAAAACAATTTTTTTTGTTTTTTTCTCTTTGTTTCAAAAATTATTCTTCCAACTACTTGCAGTTTTACCATTTTCAGATTCTTCACTATTTTACGAACAATTCAAGTATATGGTTCATATGGTTTACTTTATTAGTTCAATTTATATGAATTTTCAAAAATATGTCTGCAAAATCACTAAAATGGCCTTGCCACTACAGACTTTTCTATGTGCCAGTTGGAGGGTTAACAAGTACTTAGGTTTGCTGCATCAGGGAGGGTAAAACTGTTTTTTTTTTGTAAAATGTTAATAGTAAGAAATAAAAACATTTTCCAAATTTGATCAAAATATGTTCATAAACAAGCAAACTACAACAGTTTACTCATTCTCCATAAGAATAACATGGGAATTTTAAATTTACAATTTTTTTGAATTTTCTCCGTAACCATTAGGCGCATAATAACGCTTCAATATACTAAATTATTTGTTTGTTTAAGCTCTACAAAATGGTTTGGAAATAAATTGCTAAATTTTATGTTTTTTGGGTCAAAAATGGGAAAAACCTATTTTTACCCCATAAAACCCCCCGTAAACACCCGTTCCCATGGTCCGATCATGCTGGATCGCGAATTCGTTCGAATAAACGTAGGTTTACACGTTTGTACCAAATTTCATCTAAATCGGATCATTTTTGCTCGAGTTATCGTGCTAACGGACATATATATATAAAAATATATAAATATATATATATAAATATATGAATTTGAACGGATGGTGTTTTTGGCCTCTAGGGACCTCAAAACGAAAAAAAAAATCGGTCCCGCGTCCAGGTCTTACCATGAGTACTACGGTAATAGCTTATTCCCTATATGGGAAATT